TTGTATATTTGTACATACTAGTAATTTGATTTGAGATCCCCAAGCTGCACAAACACTTCAAATGACWATTTAAATAAATTACCAAGGGTTTGTCTGCTCCACTCACAGGACCTGGTCAAAGAGTAAGAGTTGCGCGTTTTGGATGTCTGTGCTTGGAGGAATGTACACTCCACTCTGACTCCAAGATGAAGGAACTGAATTAATTTCAGGTCAGGAGAACAGTGTAGCAGGATCACTGACATATCACTGATTGACTGATGGACAGACCTTTGGCTTTGCCGTACAGGTCCATGACACTGTCCTCTGTGGAGCCTGAAGCTGCAGCACAGAGTCCGGCACCAGCTCACACAACCATATCTCCTTGAACCATAAAACAGACTGCAAATCATCTACTAGGCACTTATTTGTCATGTTATGCCTGATAAGACACAACTAGGCGCRATGTGTTTAGTTCCTTTCCTGGGATGCGGAGCTCTGATCAAGCAGTGGGCCCGGCTCGCTGTCCAATTTTAAATGGGGAAAGCACTTGATCTGCTGCATGAAGATCCAGGCTGTAACGGGTGCTCGTCCCACACGTTGCTAACAGAAAGACAGCAGAGTTTTCTGGGTCTGCTCAAACGTTTCTAACTTTAATAAACTGCTCTCTGTGGTGCATGAAACATTTCCTGAAACCTTTGTGTGTTTTTAACTGCTACTTCAGTTTATTTGACAACARGAGAGGTTCCCCTCTTAATCTACRAAAAACAAAATCCAACTTGTCAACCAGCTGTGCGATTTGGCTCAAATTTTAGCTTTTTCACAATATCCTTAGCTTTATTTTGAACCATAGTTTATAAAAAGTTAATCATTACTTACTCAGTAACTGACCAATAACTACTATTTCCATGTACCCTAAAGTAAAGTGAATCATCATACCAAGTACTTACCAAGGAACTACTCATTACTTAATCAGTACCTGACCATGATTAGTTCCTCAGTAACTACTTGGCAAGATGCCTCACTTGAC